GTGTGTGTGTGTGTGTGTGTGTGTGTGTGTGTGTGTGTACAAGCAGAGGAATATAAGGAGTCAGCAGGATAGGGCCCAGACACAGCCCTCCAACAGCCCCTGCTTTTCTGTCTACCTCAACCTCTCAAGCCTGCATCGGTTCTTTTGTTGTTTTTGTTTTTTTGATGGGGGTGGGAATGGCTCCTTGTTCCCTCTGTCCTGCGCTGGGCAGGTGTGCCACCTTAGGGTTTTGGGCACAGTCCATGGGAACCCGTTTTCCCACACCCCCAAGTAGAATGTACACTGAACCTCCCTTATGACCAGATCCAGAGAACCTAGGTCAGCAGGAGAGGGTCTATGGAGTGGGTGAATGCTGCAGGGTGGCTCCCCATGCCCAGGGTATGTGTGTGTTTCTGTGCATGCCTGTGCCAGAGCAAAACCATGCCAGGGTGAACACCCATGTGTGTGTGTGTGTGTGTGTGTGTGTGTGTGTGTGTGTGTGCCAGCATGTGCCGCCCCCACAGTGCCTCCGTCATAAGCATCCCCCAGCTGCCGGGAGAGCTTTCTACACAATATGAAAATGACAGTTTGGCTCACCCACGCATGGAATCCTCACTCGGCCTACTCCCTCCCTACTGCCGGCTTAGGGCCCCTCTTGTCTTCCCCCATAGCCAGGCCTCAGTCTCAACCCCCCTGCTGGTTGCTGCCCTGCGCCTTTCCCTCTTCTCCCTTCTCCCATCCCCTCCTCAAATCTTTGTCCCTGATTCTAATCTCTGTCACTTTCTTTTGAGGTCACCCCTATCTGAATTTAGGCTAAAGTGGGAGTGTGTGTGTGTTTGAGGGTGTCCACAAGTAAGCGTGTGAGTGGATGAGCAAGCTCAGGTGTGCACGTGTGGGGCTTGTGCATACTGAGTGGAGTCTGCCAGAGTGTTAGGTATGGACGAGAGTGGGGGATGGACTGGGGCATCTCAGGTGAGGCAGCTTTCGCTCAATTACTCCTCAAGCGACAGGAGGGGGCGGCGGCTCACAACAGTTGGACAGGTTTATTGGGTGTGTAGGAAAGCCTTCATTTCCCACCCACACTGGTGACATATGGAGCTGGCAGCCATGGGTGGGATGGGGGAGGCTCTACTCAGTGACACCTGAGGTCAGCTGTTGAGGGGATCTTTCAGTGAGGGAGAGGACAGTGGCACCTCAGCAGGTGACATCTGACTGACGTGCAGACCATTGCATGGGTCTTCAAGATCTGCTCTGTATGAGATCTGGGAAGGCTCCTTGGAAGAGGCAACTTCCAGAAAAGCATTGCAGGGCGAGTGGAATGAGGAGTAGGGTGTGGGGTGAGGCTGAAGAGAGGACCTTAGAGTATGAAGCTCTAAAGCTGTCTCTTTGTTTTAGTCACTCTGCCCAGCAGGGCTGGGTTTGAGACATCTTGGGTCCGTAGTACTGACATTGGTCTAACGTGCTCTGGACTCAGTGTGGAGAAGCTTCTAGGGCTCCAGCACTGTGTACAGAAGATATGCTAGCACAAGTGTGATTTCATCACAGATGTGGGCATGGTTCCTCCAGGCTGAAGAGACACCTGAGTAAAGGTCTTGGCTGGCTGGGGAGTGTTTGTGAGCCCGAAGTGCAGTTGAGCTATCCAGGGCTACTTAGTTAGCACTCTAAGGATACAGAATACCTGCCATGTCTTGGAGATGTGGCACAAGATGCCCAGGCTGGTGAGACGTGGGGCAGAGATATGTGATGTTTGGCTCTAGACTCATCAAAGGTGACCCAAGCCCTTAACATCATCTCTTTTACCCTCTTGCTTCCCTACTGGGGCTTTGGCCCCTGGCTTGGTGGGCCCCTCTTAGGACCCTATCTCTGGTGGTGGCTCTGTAAAGCTATTACTGATGCATCAGTGACACCCAATTTCCATGTGGTGCCAGCCTGAGGTCCTTCAGTTCTCTGGTTTAATCTGATGGCCAAGCATCCACACTGGAAGAGAAGTTCTAGAAGCAGAACTGACATAGGTCATGGATCGGGTGGATAGGGTCTAGAAGGCAGGAGCCACTTGACATGGGGCTGGCTCTATAGTAGGGACCGGTCTCTGTTCCTTCTGCTTGCACTCCTGACTTTATCTGCAGAGTCCCTGTGACAGGCAGTCTTGCTGCTGCTAACCCTGCTTACAGAAGAGACTGGGACCCATCACAGCTGGATCTTGGTCCCTTCCCTCACTCTTCTAGGGAGTGTGGGTGGTTGGGTGGTCCCAGCCTAGGACCTGGTCCTGAGTATTTTCTATACTGTCTCTCATTCTCTCTTTTCTTCATAGGATGGTTGAATACTCTCTGGACCTTCAGAACATCAACCTGTCAGCCATCCGCACTGTGCGTGTCCTGAGGCCCCTCAAAGCCATCAACCGTGTACCCAGTGAGTTGGACCTCCCTACCCACCAGTCACTGCCTGCCCAGCTTGGCCCATTTATTTACTCCCAGAAGACAGACCAGTTCCTTCCTGGGCCAGATCTATGCTCATGTGCTGGACCACTTTGCTCCTATTGAACTCACGGGCCAGCATGTGGTGCCCAGGAGTGCTAGGGCGGGGGTCTTGATGCCTGAGTCCTCAGATAACTTGGGTTCCAGCACTTGAGAAGTCTGACTGTTCTGGGGTGATGAGGGAGAATAAGCTTAGTGCTTCACTGTGAAGCCAGTCATGGCAGGCTTAGAACTTGAGTCTGTCGCCTACTTCCCCATAGTACTATCCCCTCATTTTCCCAGCCACCTTTCCATCCTTCCATCCATCCATCCATCCATCCATCCATCCATCCATCCATCCATCCTTCTACTCACCTGTTCATGCATGCATCCATTTGCCACCCCAAACACCTACCCCTCACCCTATCTATCTAATTACTACGTTCACTCATCTGTCTATACATGCATACTTTTATAATACACCCAGCCATCTGCCCACTTGTCTGTCCGTCCGTCCATCCATCCATCCACTCACATATCTACTCATCTGTATCTATCCACTACCCACGCACTCATACATTTCCCCACTTCTCTGGCTATCTATCTATCTATCTATCTATCTATCTATCTATCATCTATCTATCTATCAGCATATCTATCTATCTATCTATCTATCTATCTATCTATCTATCTATCTATTAGCGCACCGACACACCTATCTACCCATTTACCCCACTTTCCACCTATCCACCTAGTTATCCATCCATCTATCCATCTCCCCACCTATCCACTTATATACCTGTCCATCCCCATTCCATACCTAGCTTAAGTTGAGAGGTTGCCTTGAATCCACAAGCCCTGGGGTCTGCTCTGAATTGCCTAGTCTGTATCCCTTTGATGTTTTGAGCCTTACAATCACCTAGGGAGGGATCTGGGTTATTCTTATTTGGGGGATGATGAAACAGCCTTGAAGACATGGTTCCCTCCTCAAGGATGCACTGCCAGCAAGTAGCAGATGTAGGGTGCCTCCTCCACTGCCCTGTGTTAGGAGTGGGAAGAGGTAGGGAAGGGAAGGAGGAGGACACAGGCTTAGGACTTTCAGATCTGTTTGGGAAGGCCAGGAACTGTTCTTTCTTTCCTTTCTCTCGTGCATGTGTGCTTAGTGTGCATGTGTGTATGTGCATTTGCACGTGTGTGTCTGTATATGCCTGCATGCATGGAGGTCTGAGGCTGATGTTAAAAAATCTTCCTTGATCACTTTCTACTTATTCCTTGAGACACAGTTTCTTCCTTTTTTATGTGAAAGGTTTATTTCGGGGAAGGTAGGGGAGTAAGGGAAGGGAAGAGAGAAGAGAGAAAGAGAGAGTGAGGCACAGTTTCTTAATTGAACCCAGAGCTCAGTGATGCAGCTATGGTGGCTAGCCAGTTTGCTCTAGCTCCAAGGGCTAGAATTACAGGCAGCCTGCTGGGATAACCTGACCTTTACATGGATCCTGGGGATTAGAACTCTGGTCCTCATGCTTGTGAGGCAAGCGCTTTCCCTCCTCAGCCCACCACATGGTGGGTCTCAACCCTTCAGTGCCTAGAAGCATGGGAGGAAACCCTCAAACACATGTGAGATGCACATGTTCAATAAGCATGTCTATCTGTCCTTCTGCGCTGCTAAGTCATAGACAGTGCTTGGGCCCATCCAAGCTCAGGATACAGGGTGGGGATACAGGTCTGGGCTGAGACCCATGAAACCTGGGGATTAGCTGGCAGTGGGAAAGACCAGTAGGGCAAAGGGGAGTGGGACATGGCCAGAGCCTAGAAGCCACTAACTAGCCTCTGACTGTTGAGGATCCCAGGTACTGGCTGCTTCAGGGACCAGATAAAGATCAGAGAGTGGGGCTGAGGCTGGAGCAGCCAAGAGAGGTCAACAGGAGAGTGTTTCAGACGTGGCCCTGGCAGGAGTGTGGAGTGAGATGGCCACTGAAGCTGCTCCAGTGATTAGGAAGTGATGGCTAAGGCTGGGCAGGGCAGAGGGAGGGAGGAGGTACTCATGAGCCCATCCTAGGTTGGAGGGTCATTATGGGCATTATCTTTGAACCACAAAGGGAGGGACACAGCATTGAAAGCATGGAGCAGGGGCCCCTCTCTCCTGGCCTCACCTGTAATGCTTCTATTTCTGTCCTGGGGATGGCTGTTGTGGCTGCCTTCATCTACAACTGTGTTCCTGTCATGGAGCCTACAGGCCTGGTCACTTTGGATGCCAGGGGCATATGGCAAGGTATCATCTACAGGGCATTAGCACAGGATCTCACAACCTGGCCTCTATCAGGCCTAGAATCTGACAGGCATGGGGCAGCCATACGAAAGAATGTTAGGGAATGGAAGAAGGCCCAAAGGGACAGGATAGACATGTAGGGTTAGATGTTTTCTGGACATCTGTGTGTGGATATGGAGAATCTATATGAATTCACAGGAGAACACATGTGCACATATGTGAGTGATATGTGTGCACGTATCTGGGTATGCATGTCTGTCTCTCATAGGAGCATATGTGGAACCTGGGCCACCCTGGGTGGCTGTGTACAGAGCTTGTTAAATGGCTTGGGATTGAGGTGGTTATTCCATGTCCCAAGCTTGCCTATTCTCTGGAGAAGGGCAGGGCAGGGGTCAGTCTTAAGCCCAGCATCTCTGTGTTCCTGGAAGTTCCAATTATTGAGGCTCTGTGTGCAGATAGCCAAGGGAGGCTCCAAGGCTTTCTACAGGACCTTCTAACAGCTAATGGCCCCCTTGGGAACACTCAGGTGCCCTTTCAGCTGTCAGGCACCTCTCTCAGAGGTGCCTCTCTCAGTCCAACATTGTGGAGATGCTGAGAGCATGAACTCCTAGGATCCAAAATACTTCCAGATTGAGTAAGCAGCTATGTTCCATGGAAATAACCTTAGGATGAACAACTTCTCCCCCCCTTTTCCTCCACCTCTTCTTTCTCTGCTTCCTCTTTCTGCTCCTCCTTGTTCCCTCTCTTCTTTGTTCCTCTCCTCCTCCTCCTCCTCCTCCCCTCTCCTCTTCCTTCTCCTTTTTCCACCATTGCCTCTTCCTTCTTTTTGTTTTTATTTTGAGACAGGGTCTCGCTACATAGTCCTGGCTGTCCTGGAACTTAGTAGATCAGGCTGTCCTTGAATTCACAGAGATCTTCCAGCCTCTGTCTCCTGAGAGCTAGGACCAAAAGTGTGTGCCACCACATCTGGCTTCAACTCACCTTTTTAAGTAGATGAACCCCAGGAGTGCATGAGAGTTAGAAAACAGGGATCCCTGAAGTCCAGCAACTCAGCCTCTCAATCTGCAGGGAAGCCTTCTTTGTGCCTGACTGCCCTGTCTTCCTCCAGGAGTCACCAGGTAATAGTGACCTGAGAGGGGCCTGGGCTCCTTAGCTGTGTCTGCCTTGGGATGTGTTCAGCAGTAGCCTGCAGCTCTGTGTTTCACCACTAGATGGCAAGCTGGAGAGCCAGCGCGGTGCAGTCAAATTATCAGTGATTAATTGGGAAATCAGGGAGGGAGGGAGGTTACCAAAACCTTGAAAAACATAGTGGAGGATAAGGGCCCCAACATGATCACCCAGAAAGACTCAACTGGGGGTCAGAGAGTGCAAGTCCTGTTCTCCACTCTGCTGTGACGTGGGCCTCGGTTTTCCCGCTGACACAGAGCAGAAGACCTGGATTAGCTCCTATGGTTCTCAGGTTTGTATGAAGTGGGTAGGGGACCCAGAAGTCAGGGCTCTCATTACAGAATTTCCCAAAATCTGTCCCTTTAGCCCGCCCCTCCAGTTCTATTCTCAGTTCCCGCCTTTGACGGATAAGGGGAAGGAGACAGAAGATGGAAGAAGATTAAGGAGAGAGGTAGGAGGTGAAGCTCTGGTTCTTTACTCTGCAACCTCTTACTAGTCACTGCTTTTCTCTGTGCCTTCTCATGGTGGGCCTGGATTATCTGCAAGCCTGTGTCCTGGCACCAGCCAAGTAACCACAGCATTTCTATGAGCCCCATTGGTTGAGTCCTTTCAAAGAGATTTTTTTTTTTTTTTTTTTTTTTTTTTTTTTTTTTTTTTTTTTTTTTTTTTTTTTTTTTACCTCCAGTTAGAAACTTGGGCAGTCACCATGGAGCATGGAGTCGGTTCATGCTGCAGCTAGGTGTTGCACTCCAAGCTAGGCTGTTGCAAGGGTGTCTGCACAACCTCCAGGGTCCTGAGCTGTACTTGGGCTTACAATTGCTGGCTCTGTCACAACCTACCTTCCCACAAGGGACCCTGGGTTGGCTTGGCTGTCTAAGCAGAATGAAGAAGGTGCTTCAAGATACCTGTGGACTGGGTGGGATCATTAGCGACAGTTCTGCAGGGACTCCCAGCTATAGGTCTCTCTACTGCACTGTCAGCCCCTGGTTCGATTCAGCAAACCCTGTCCCCTCTGTTTTTGAGTCCTCCCACTAGAAAGTGGAGTTAATATTTCTAGTCTCTGTCTTGTTGTGTGACTGAAATGACATGGTGTGCTTGAAGAACTTCCCACAGAATGTTAGGTGTGAGAAGTGATGGACAGGTTCTGTGGTGAGGACCAGGGGGTCTTGGGGACATCTTAGCAGGGCCTGGTCTTAGAAGAGCCCATCCAGGACTCAGAGGTCTCAGGGTGTGGGCGGATATTCCTGCAGGACAGAGCATGCTACTGAGACATCCTGGGTCTGCTGTGGCAGCTCAGGGAACTGCCTGTTGGGAGGGGTAGGAGCTCACCTCTCATCATTCTCTATACCTGTCCCAAATAAAACTCCCTCGGTCCTTCGAAGAAGGACACCTGGGTCTTCCTATCCCTTCTTAACATAACTGAACTGACAGTGATCCAGCTGGGACCCTATCTGGATAGGAAGGGCCAAAGCAGTCCTGGGTACCAGGGCAGGTACATACCCTGTACTTGCTACCGCCACACC